CCATGACCCACCCTTCTACTCTCTATTGGAGTTACCAGCAAGAAGGAACTGAGAGGGTGCAGGGCTTGCAGCACCCCTTATACCAGCTCATGTGCACATGGCTCCAGAGTGCGGTAGATCTGGCCCAACTGATACCACTGAGGGAAAAATCTCTGACAACCGTGCATGCAGCGCGCACACACCTAGCATGGAATGGACACGAACAACCCATCTCAAAGAGCAATAGTTACAAAAGGTTAGTAACCATTTCTTCACAGAATACAAGCAACATGAAATGTTCTGATACTGTGAGAAGAAAAGGGAGCCAAAAGTGGGAAGTATCATGGAGAGAGCCAGGCGAGGGGAAAACAGTATATGGAAAATGAGGAAGGGAACAGAAGGGGGAAATGGAGGTAAAATGGTGTCTCACATTTCAGGGATAGGGGTTCCACAGTGTCCCATGTTTTAGGAGTCTTGGTCCCACATTGCAGCAGTAAGAGGTTAAGATGTGTGGACTTGAATGATTTGTTGACAAATCATTTTCTCTGTACAGGTACTTGTTCCCATGATTTGTATCAGCCCTATGGTTAGCTTAAAGGTTGAAAGGTAGAAACCTGTAGAAAACATTACATTTTGTTAATTAAAAACTTTTCCCCAGTGATGGCATGTTAAATATTGATAGATGTTATATTTCTCTGCTAGAATTGTTTGCTATTTTAATATCTTTATTGTGGTTATATTAAGGAGAACTTATTTTAGTAGCTGAAGTCCTTCATGATCTCTCAATGTTTTTCTTTATTCCTGGCCTCCTCACTCCACTAAAGCCGCTGCCAGTGATCTGTGACTTCTGAGGCTATGGCCATTCCTGGAAGATAGATGTATATAGAGCGATATATACACACACTATTTAGAGCAGCTTACAGGTGATTCAGCTTAGAATATGAAACTGACAGAAAGGGAGTTGCACACCTAGGGCTGATCCTGCCAGATGCTGAGCTCCCTCAACTTCCACTCACATCATTGGAATTTGAAGACCAAGATCCTTCAAAGTCAGGCCCTTTATTTCCAGGGCCTATTTCTGCAAATGAACCCCTATCATCTAATTGTGCACTGCAGTATCCAAAAAGTTTGGCTCTATCCATTATAACATTTTTGAATCTTGAATTATGAATTTTTGAAAGGCATGGCCCAAAATGCATTCTTCTGAATCTCTGAGGTCCAAATGATACCATGTAGACACGTATTGAAGTAGCTGTTCCACACTAGAATACACTTTGGCACAGGTGTACTAAAAATGTGGTTATAATTACAGCATGGGATTTTAATGCACAATGGTACTGCCAATATAGATATATTTTGTTTGAGGAGCCTACATATGAATGATGAATGTTTGTTTGTTTGTAAGTTTCTTTCATACTTTGATGGCCAAGATTTTCAAGTGACTAGTGATTTTTGGGTGCCTCCACTTTTGAGTGGCCAATTTTAGATACCTTAAAGGGGTATAGTTGGCTTTATCCCAGCCTTTCCTGATGGTCTCTCACAGGGGGAGTGTTGAGGCCAGCTGATGGGAAGAGAGAAGGCATTATAGTTTGAGGAGGGAGTGGGGCTGGAGTGTGGGGCGCTCTGCCATTCCTTTGTTGGCAGAATGGTCTGTAGGAGCCTGTTCTAGCTGGTGTACACCTTGTGGCTGCTTTACCTTGCACGGGGAGAGGTTGGAAGGAGGTAGAAAGATATCCTCCTTTACACTCGGCATAGCTGAGGATTGTGTCCTTATTGTAAATAGAGTGGATGCTTGGATTGCTGCATAGGTGGGGGGTTGAGAATAATGAGGACATATCTACTTTTTCTTACTTCTTTGAGAAACAGGCATGTTACACTAGTGTTTCTATTTATATCCCAGCAAGGCAATTAAGCATGGGCTTGAGGCGGCCTCGATGCCTAAAATGATACTGAAGAAAATTATATAAGCATATACAAGACAAGTAGATGGATTGGTGAAATGTATACTGAACGTTACATATACTATCTATATAAGACCACAATTCATCTGAGATAACTGATAATAAATTATAGCGGTTGTATATTAATGAGTTACCATTATGTTTTAGATAATTTTAATGTATGTATATTCTTTGAGTAACAAAAATAGCTAATATTAGAAACTTATCTTTAATGCTTAGATATACTGACAAATCTTAAAAAACAAAAAAAAGAGATGACAAAATATTTTTACTCATTTAACATTTTTAGCCATGTAAATAAAGGTGAATTTGTGGGCAATGTAAAAACGCATTCATTTTTATCAAGTTTTGCTAATAATAAATTGTAGTGATTCAAAAGGGATGCTGTAGTTCATCTCTATGCCTTTACTTCTATCTACGCACCTTAAAAAAAACTTTTGCAATCTTTGTTACCAAGAATTACCTAAATGCCTAGTATGCTGTGGTCAGGATCAGTTCTTGTTTTTTCTCAAGGCTTTTAAAGACTGCCACTTTAGCAAGATGCTAATTTTTAGTGGTACTGGCTAAATAATGGATTGATTTTCATATTTTTTGTGGTTTGCTTTCATGAAAAGCAGTTAGTATCTCCATGAATTGTTAATATTGTACAGTGATTGTGAATGTGTACTGTTCCCATTATTTTGTATTTTAAATCCTGCTTCACATGTGTACCTTCACTGAAAAAGTTAGTTTAAACTAAAATGTTTTTAGAATTTGGTGCTTTTTCAAATATTTGAATGCCAAATTAAGTGGAAAAAATTACCGTATCTCAGCTGCTTTTTACTTCTGTAGACTTGTGGTATTTTTCAAGTAATGTGTATTTCTTTGGATTGTAGGTTTTTGTGGTGGAATAAACAAGTATCATACAAAGTGTAATGTATTTTTTTTTGTGGTAGTAGTAGCTTTTAAATAATTTGCTGGAGGTGACTATCATTTTAAATCACAGACTTGATTTTTCCCTTATATTGTTGGTCTTGACATGCCACATATCCTGGATCAAATTCTCTTTAAATATTGTTTTTGGCAGCAAGGATGAAGGGTGAGCTGGAACTTTTGGGTTAAACTGATCCTGATGCAGCCTACCTCCCAGCAGCTAAAAACTCTCTCCAATCACTAGTAAAAGTAGACCCAGTGAACTATAGAAAATTATTAGAAATAAGCCATCTGTAACGTGTGATCTACATGAGAAATAGCTAATTTCCTAAGGAGTAAAATAGTTATTCCTGAAGTTGGTAGACTCTCATTTGTTTTGCTTTTCCTCATGTACCGCATCTATTTGCAAAACTTATAATTCTTTATCTTAAAAAATTCTTCTTTCAACAGCCCAGCCCAACCCTAGGAAGTAACCCTACGGTGAAAAATCAGAGGCCAGACTTCAGTATCAAGCTACGAAAGGGTTATTGTAATCAACTGAGAGTAAAAATAATTTTGAAGAAGTCTGAAAGATAGCTTGGTAAGGTTCTTTTCCAACTTATTTTTTGGGACATTTTGAGATATGGTAAAAGCTCCTTGTATATTCTATATCACATCACCTTGGCAATTTGATAAATTGTACGTAATGAAGGTAAATTGTAGGCTATGAAATTTTCCTTTAATTTTCTTCAAATTTTCTCTTACAAAAGTTGCGTAATAGCATATGTATTGAATATTGTCTGTCAGCAATTTAAAATCAGTACTTAGCAGAAAGCTTTACATGGGCATTTATGACAAACTGGGAAAGAATGGCTGGATTTGATAAAGGTGTAAAGAACTAAAAATACAGAAGCTCTAGACAAGATAAAAGTAATCCATTTCAAAATGAAGTAAGTATAGTATAATGCGGGGAAGAGAAGGATGGGGAAAGAGGTGATAAAATCACTCTTCCCTTCTTTCTTACCCACTGATACAGTATTGCTGAAAAATTGGTTTGAATCATGTGGACTACCCTCAAGCCTGGATCAGCAAAAACATTAAATGTAAAGAAATACAAAAATGCAACATATATGCAAAAGCCAGAAGAGCCAATTGATTATTCTCAGACACTACTGCAACAGGCACTGCTTAATGCACTAACGTGCTACATCTTGGGGACTAAGAATTTGGGGTCACTAATAGGAGACGCCTGTGCCAGGGAGGACTTCTGGTTGGTGAGAAGCAGGACAGGTTCGACTCTGCTTCTTTATACTTGGAATCTCTCCTCATTCTGTGTTTTCACTATGCTGGCGCCACTCCCTGCTAGCAGTTCCTGAGAACAAGCTAGAGTGGGGGCTTTAGTGCACATTTGGTGTACAGGCCTGGGGCATAATCTATTTACATTCACTGCAGGGAGACTTTAAAGGACTCTCCTCTTTCCAAAGATGCAAACATACAAGTTGTTTTTACAAACCTGTCTGAAGGGGAATGGGGAGTGTAGCTGTGGATATCATGAGTAGCAGGAGAGTTACAAGTATGCCAAAGCAGGCAAATGTGGGTGGGGGTAGGAAAGATACAAAGTTTGGTATTTTGTGCATTTTTGTAAAACTGGTTTTATAATCTTTTTTCCCCCCACCTCCAAAAAGTACATGGTGTTAGACCCCAGGTTTGTTTCTTGTTCATCTGTCCTACAGCGCAGCCAGGAATGAAGATTATTAGCACTGCAGCAAGGGCTTTTTTTTGCCATCTGGATGGAGTTCCCTCGCTGTACACTTCCCCCTTTTCTTTAAGAGTGAGGTATAATGGGGAAGTTCATAGAAATTGCTTTGAGGTTGTGAAGGTATTTCAAGACAATGGTCTTGAGGGGGGGCACTAAATTGTTGAATTTACTCCTCTTGTAGGGATGAGTGGGGGTTGGGGGAAGACTGTTGAGCTATACAATGGCAAATAACCTATTTCTGAGTTTTCCTGCAAGGAAAATAGTGGACCAGTTATGGAGTGTCCTTATTTGCAAATTGCTGCACCCCATTTAGTTTCTAAAGCATTTTGGATTGACTCAGTTGTAGTCAATCCATGAAGCATTTTGCTTCACACGTTCATTTATAAGCATCAAGTCCAGTAGATAAAGGATTCAGTCACTGCAACCATCAGCAGAATTTTAATGAGAAAAATGTTAACTGTACCTCCACCAAACATATTCTACTAAAACTTTTTCTCATATCATCACCTGAAGTTTTAGCTTCACTTTAAATGTGAAGAGTCTTAAAGTTAACTTATAAAAATCTCTTTTGGCATACTGTACATTATTCAGAAGATTATTAAACCAAAAATCTTTGATTAAAAAGTCTGTTTACATATGTATACATATAGTGTATAATCCACATCATAATTATTTTCATTTAGAAAATATGCACAATATAAACCACTTCCATGCAATATAATCAATTCTTATTTAAAACATAGTATAAAAAAGACACATCCAACTACAACACAGCAGTCCTAACTCTTTGCACATAAAATATGTATCGTTTTCACTGAAAGTGTTGTATGAATAAAGTCCAGTATAACAAAAATATCAGATTTAAATCTGTTTCAGTTTACCACAGTACCCGAAGATGCAAATTGTTGCCAATGATATGTGCATGCACTTAAGATTGCTATTGACATATTAAACCATGACCCAGACCATTAGTGTTTAACATTGCATTACCCTAGTGTCTGTAACTAATGTCCCATTATTAGTCTGTCAACTTGTGTTTTGTGGACCTTCCACGTTATGAGGACTGTATTTATAAAATGCTTGTATCTAGTGCATCAAAGTTATGTTGCTTATAGAGTTTAAAAAAATCTATAGAAAAAGTTCATTTTCTGTACAAACAATTAATGCTGTATTACTCACCAAAAAAACTGAAATTCTGAAAAGATCTTGTGAGGTTTAATATGTTCCCTTCCCTGCTATGCATTGGAAGGAGGTTATTTAAATAATGCCTCACTTATATTTCAGTGGTAGTACACAGACTCTTGCTGTGGCACCCAGGAAACAGGTGCATTAGTGGCTAGTGTCAGGAAACCACAGCAGAGAGGGTCAAAATGTGAAACAATATGGAACTTTCTATATTTAAGTACATGAATGCACTGTTTGATAGAAGCAGCATGAAAATAAGCACCCGTGAGACAACGTGTTTTGGTATATTGTAGAGTGATGGGACACTTTCTAGGTTGGTGGAGGTCCATTGGTATATCTCAGCATGGGATAGAAAGAGCGGGCAAAGTTGTTCACTTGTGTGCAGCTGTAGTCTTCCTCTGAGGATGGGATCATGCAGGCCAGAAGCAGAAGCAAAAGGAAGAGGAACTGCAGGGGTAAAGCTGCTCTTAATACACGATAAAAGAAGGATTGGGGGCTGGAAATTGCTTGAGTGGTTTCAGGCTGGTTTTCCATTCTGTAAATAAAGGATATCAGATATTTCGATAGGGGGAAATGTTAAAAACAAAGTAACTAGCATGTTGCACACACACTGTCATGCATGCCCTCTATTTCTGCACCATTACATTAACCCTCTCCTCCCCCCTTTAAGGAAGGCAGCCTTCACTTACTGGAACAGAGACTGCTTTAGATGTGAAACGCACTTAAATCTAGTTTAAAGAAGAGTGGGGAGAATGTTGTTTGTTGTAATACCTAGTAGACAGAGTCTAATACATAAGGAAAATCTCCCAAAAGATTTTAATGTAATTATTTAGCCTTTAGGACAGGGGTGGGCAAACTACGGCCTGCGGACCACATCCAGCCTGCCAGCCGATTTAATCCGGCACTCAAGCTCCTGCTGGGGGTCAGAGGCTGCTCCACGCACACCTGTCACAGCTCCTGGAAGCAGCAGCATGTCCCCACTCCAGCTCCTACATTTAGGGTCAGCCAGGGGGCTCCGCGTGCTGCCCCTGCAGCTCCCGTTGTGCGGGAACTGTGGCGTATGGGAGCTGCGCGGGCAACACCTGTGGACAGGGTAGCGTGCAGAGCTGCCTGGCCGCACCTCTGCCTAGGAGCCGGAGGGGGGACGTGTCGCTGCTTCCAGGAGCTGCGTGAGGTAAGCGCTGCCCAGAGCCTGCACCCCTGAACCCCTCCCATGCCTCAACCGCCTGCCCCAGCCCTGATCCCCCTCCTGCACCCCAGCCCCACCCCAAAGCCTACATCCCCAGCTGCAGCCTTCAGCCCCCTGCCACACCCTGAACTCCTCATTTCTGGCCCCACCCCAGAGCCCTCACTCCCTCCGGAACCCCAATTTCGTGAGCATTCATGGCCCGCCATACAATTTCTATACCCAGATGTGGCCCTCAGGCCAAAAAGTTTGCCCACCCCTGCTTTAGGAACAAGCACTGTGTGTTAATAGGTTAAGGTAACACCTGCATTTTGCATAGGGTTACTGGAGTCAGTTTTTTAAACAATATCTTAGTTTTCAAGAGCCTAATGTATCTGCATGGGCTCTCTCCCTGATAGAAGGCTAGGCCTCACATTGTGACATTTCCTCACCCTGTAATGCAGGATGTATCTTTAACCCATTTACCCTTATCCTACCACCCACACTTGGCTGCAGTGGTGGCTGATTTGTCCAGCCCTACAAAAGCTGTAATCCCTGCAGGTGCATGAGGTGTGAGAATATGCCCTCACCTCAGGAATAAGAGAAGAAAAATTAAGGCTGCAGCTCCTTGTCTCTGCCAGTTGTAAAGGGGCCAACCTCCAAAAGGGCACACTGGGGAAAAGTTCCCAGAAAAGTGCAACACTATAGTGAAACAGAGGGTTTGTAGGGGCTAAGCAGACACAAAGGAAGGTGCTACTTCTATGTAACACCACTGTATCCTCACGTTGGTATCTGGGGGAAATAGTGAAGTCAGCCATGAATCCAGATACATTGCCTCCATAATGTGTACAGACCCATTAGGACAGGGGTAGGCAACCTTTCAGAAGTGGTGTGCCGAGTCTTCATTTATTCTCTTTAATTTAAGGTTTCGCGTGCCGGTAATACATGTTAACGTTTTTTAGAAGGTCTCTCTAAGTCTAAATTATATAACTAAACTATTGTTATGTAAAGTAAACAAGGTTTTCAAAATGTTTAAGAAGCTTCCTTTAAAATTAAATTAAAATGCTGATCTTAAGCCGCCAGCCTGCTCAGCCCACTGCCAGCCTGGGGTTCTGTTCACCTAGGCCTGCAGTGGGCTGAGCAGGGCGACTCGAGGTCAGGGCAGAGGGCTGGGGTGTGTGTGGAGGTGCAGGGCAGAAGGCTGGGTGTTGGGGGGGACTTGAGGTCAGGGCAGAGAGCTGGGGCGGGGTGGAGGTGCAGGGCAAAAGGCTGGGTGTGGGGGGGTTCAGCGCAGACGGCTGGGGGTGTGTGGAGGTGCAGGGCAGACGGCTGGGTGTGGGGGGTGCAGGGTAGAAGGCTGGGATATGGAGGTGCAGGGCAGAAGGCTGAGTGTGCGTGGGGAGGTCAGGGCAGAAGGCTGGGTGTGTGGGGGGTGCAGGGCAGAAGGCTGGGTGTTGGGGGCGACTCGAGGTCAGGGCAGAGGGCTGGGGTGTGTGTGGAGGTGCAGGGCAGAGGGCTGGGGTGCTCGGCTCGTGGGGGTGCTCCCAGCCCCCTGCCCTGAGCGGCTCATGGCAGGGGCCTAGGAGGGATATGCCCTGTTCCACCCCCAGGCCCGTCCCTACCTCTCTCTGCCTGCTCTAAGGAGCTGTGTGCAGCCCGCCGCTCTTCCCCCTCCCCCTCGCAAGGGCCATCCCGGCAGGAGGAGGGGCAGAGGGGCCGGAATGCACGACGCTGTGGGAAAAAGCGGGGGAGGAGGGAAACTTGGCTGCCGCAGGACCAAGCTTCTGCTTCCTGCCCCCGCAGGGGAGAGCGGTGGGGCTGAGTGGGGCGGGGGGCCGGGACCCCCCCCCACCGCTCTCCCCTGCAGGGGCAGGAGCCAGAAGCTTGGTCCTGCGGCAGCCAAGCTTCCCTCTTCCCCTGCTTCTTCCCCCAGCATGGCGCTTTCCGGCCCCTCCGCCCCTCCTCCTCTCACCAGCAGGCAGCGTGCCATTCAGAATCGGCTCGCGTGCTGTGCCGTAGGTTGCCAACCCCTGCATTAGTAGCAGAGTCTCCCCACATTTGTTTGCCATTTGGCAGTACAATACACTGGCACCAAGCCATCAGCCTTGCCTACTCTCTTTATTTTAAAACATACTCTACATTTCTACCAAAAATAATGTGCTACCTGACACTGTTGCTCTTGCCTTCTGAAGTTCTCCTTACACCAACCTGTTAAGATAAACATTTATTATTACCCAGCTCTAGGACATTAAAATGTAAACTTTCTCATAACTAAAAATGAGCATGTTTCAAGAGGTTTGAGGCTAAAGTACAGATTCAATTCAAGGGGAGGTGGGGTGAAAAGACAGCAAAAATCTTAGAAAAATAGGCATTTCATTAAAAAAAGTTCTTGCCGTTTCCTGTAGGCTGGAGTTTGCTACTAGTGGATGATAACCTCCAGAATCCAAGTCATCTGCTGCTGTCAGAAATGCACTGATGTCCTAAAAAACAAACCACGCACCCCTAAAATGTGTATACATAAAGCATCAACATAAAAACTGCAACATGTTGTATAGGGCTATCTTTAAAAAATTATCCATGTGTTTATATGGATGGCAGTCAGCTTGTGAACAACAAACAGTTCCAGTGCTAAGCACCCATGGCTTAGGATACTTGTTTTATCCTGTGCAGTTGTGAGAAACAGCTTTGGAAGGAACAGAAAGCATGAGAGGCAGATATGTGCTGATATATTAGCTTGAAAACATGTCAGTAAGCCATACTGGTCTAATTCAAGCCCACTGAGGCATAAGACAGGGTATATCTAATATTGATTGATGACCATACAACATGTAGGGGTTACGTACGTGTACACACACACACACTCACACACACTCTCTCTCTCTCTCTCTCTCTCTCTCTCTTTTCTTATCCCAATAATTGCTCATATTTGATAAGGCAATAAGGAGCTCTAAATACATACAAGTTTTAAATCAACCTGATTTTCTACTCTTGATTATTAACAAGTGCTATGATAATAAAGGATACAAGAACCAGTGCTGCAAAACCAGCCCAAAATATAAAAAAATCAAGTTTAAAAATCATACCCCTGACTCACCACGTTTCCTTGTGAAGTTTTTAAGTCATGTGAAACCTGTTCAAGAAGCTGTTTCAGTTTCTTTCCAATTACATGTATTTTCTCATCAGCTTCAATATAATCTTCCCCATCTGATTTAACCAGAAGGTAGGTGGAGATTTCCTGTAGAGCGTTTACTTGAAGCTGTTGTTCCAACAGCTCTTTCTCCAGTTGCTTAAAAAGGAAATGGTTTGAAATATAACAATCAGTATAACTAATTGCTCTAAACGTATGGGAGGATTATAATTTCATAACAAGATGAATTAATTTTATTTCTACAACAGCTCCAGTGAACAATGCAGCATGACTGATGATCCAAAAGGAACAATTCACAGAGGGTGTTGCAGACTAGGATTTAGGTGTAATTGCAGGGTTTTGTGGGAAAGATTATTCATAACCTCATCATACTTTAACACAACCTGGTGCACTCAGTCCTGGACCTTAGGGGTACTGTTTGTGAATAGATTAAGTACTCACGAACATATTTAGCTTCAGCTAGATTTATTAGTCAACCAATTCATAAAGCCACAAATCCATTTATGTATAAATGAAATATCCCCAAACTGTACCTGCTTCCTTTCAAACAACCATTTTTTAGAAATAACTATATTACTTTTTATTTTTGTGGAAATAACTTGCATGTTATTCTCATACCTTGACTCGGTAACCAACACATTACATACCATTAATTCTTTTTGGCACTCCAGTATTGTATGGGGGTCAGCATTTGGATCAGTGAATTGTGCATTATGTCTTCGACTTTCAGCACTTGCTAGTCCCAAGAGTAGTTTCTGACTCAGTTCATGGAAATCCTGAAGAAACAAGTAAAGGGTTACAAGAATGTGTGCCTGGAGTATTGTAATAAAATCAACCAACCACTCTTGCTCTGTTATTATACACTGAAACAGTTGACCAAGTATTTTTACTTAGGTTTGTTGTAAATTAGAGGGTTACTCAAAAAGATGACTAGTCATCCTGTGCTAAAACTACAGTTAACAGCTCAGACTAGTGGTCCTAACTCTATCAGCTCCTTCTGTGGCTTTAAGCAAGTGATTTAACTTCTCTTCTTCAATTGTGCCATGTCATCTATAAAACAAGGGAAATAAGGCAGAGCTACTTCTCAGGCATGTTGTGTGGATTCCTTTAAACACGGTAAGTCTTCAAATATGTTAAGAGCTGTTATAAAGAGGATGGTGATCAATTGTTCTCCACTAAAGGTAGGACAAGTAACCTGATTAATCTGCTGCAAGGAAGAATTAGGTTAAACATTAAAAAAAAAAAACCACTGTCTAACTATAAGAACAGTTCAGTTCAGGGATAGGCTTCCAAAGGAGGTTGTGGAATCCCTCTCATTGCCTAAGACTCTAGGTTTACTTGGTTCTGCCTCACCGTGCGGCCAGGAGGGACGGGGGTAGGAAGGAGGAAGGAAAGGGAAGAGATTAGATAACCTCTCAAGTCCCTTCCAGCTCTACATTTCTAAGATTCTATGAAAAATAGTGTAAGTGCTAATTACTACTAGTGTGGTTATCCTGTGCATAAAAAAGGGCACACATTCAAAGAAATCTATAATCTGAGAAAAAATTCAAAGGAACTCCTGATATTCCTGCAACTGCCATACTGTGTCCTCTGATCTACTTATATCAGCTCATTACAAATAAACTCTCATTCGAAGTGTTACAAGACAAATGTTTGCTCTATTTACCTGGCACTGCATTAGGGTTTGTTGTAAACCCCTTCTCCAGTTGTCCATTGAATGAGATACTTTCTCCCAGCGCAAATTCACTTGTCGAAGTCTGTTTTGAAGCTCTTTGGATTCAGTGCTATCTGTTTGCTGGAAGTCTTTGCTGCTCTGATTAACGGAGAACACTAAAGCCTTGTAGTTATCAAAGGCTTTAAGCATGTCCTGAAGAAAGAAGCCGATTAGAACCCTCAGTGAATTATCAATACCTTTTATTGTCCATTTAAAACAATCCTCCACAAACTAAGAAATCACAAATATTTCAGGGAGTCACTGGATCTGAAAAAGCATTTTCCAGATATTTCTAGGGAAGACTTTTAAGGCAGAATTTCCCAATTTCTTGAAGTTGAATACCCATTGGCAATTGAAGGAACAATAAAGTAATTGCATAAGGTAGAATTTTGCAAGGACCTGGATGTTAAAAATTCTACATTCTATTAGAAGCTCGATAGTATTTACAAGTTTTCAGGACCTTGATTTTACAGTTATTAAATGATTGTGGTACTGCCTGGACAGAACAAAGGTGATGGCAATGGGTCCTGTCCCAAGAAGCTTATAATCTAAATTATATCTCATCAAAACAAACAAACGAAAAAAAACACCACCTTCAGCAATATAGTGCCCCCTAACACCAGGCTGAAATCAAGGGTCCAGCACTGCCTTACAGGGAGGAGTGGCAGCTAGAAATTGGAAGAATCTAGCAATTTCTTGCATATCACCCATCCAAGTACAGACCTGGCTCAGCCCAGCTTAACTTTTAAGATTTAAGAGAATCCTCAAAATAGTGTCGCAACCCGCACTTCATGTTCTGGTGAATGCCAATTTTTATTGTGTCTCAAATTAAATATTGTTCTCTTTCCTAACCTAATATTAACGGAGATAATGAATTTATTCTGCATATTTGATTAATAAATCTTGATGTTCACCGCAACAGAAGTCAATATCTGATAACTGAGGTATGATTCCACCTTTTGAAATAATCCATTAGAAGAACTACACAAAGTGTCCAGTTTCTGGGGCTAGTTGATCCCCTCAGTTTGCTGGGAGATGCAGAATACCCAGTGCAATTATCAGGAATTGTGCATACAAATCTGCACACATTAGGATAGGAATCTCACATACAGGTGGATGGTAACAGTCTAAAAAACTTTATTGTTAATATAGTATTCACAAATTATAAGAAAAAAAGACTATTTGCTCAGAGAAACAAGTCTTTTAAATAGTAATGACATTCTTAAAACCTCACTTCTCGGTATATGATAACTTACTTTCAGTTTCTTTACTCTTTGTTCCATTGTATGCATATTGGTTGCAGGCTTTGCTTTCTGTAATTCTTCCAGCTCTTCTTCAGTTTTATCCAGCCAAGCGGTAATATCACTGAGATCAGAGTTCAGTTGTTGCCATTGCTGCAAATTCTGTTTCATTCTAAGTTTATTTCTTAGGTCCTGAGCTTGTATGAGCTCCCATCTCTCAATAACACCTACAGTGATATACCAAGAAATGCTTTAACACACCAATAATGTGAATATTATTTAAAATAGAACAGAATATTCTTTACAAACTATCAAGTTTAGCGTTTCTAAAGAACCCATTCTGCAATCAGTTTCTGACCAGATATTCTCTTCCTTTGTGTGATGGGGTGTATCAGTCCTGCACTGGGCCGGAGGAGGTTAATCCCATGCTCTGGTCCAGGGAAGCCAAGCCCCCTCACCCATGCTGGGCATGCTCCAACTGGAACCACAGTATAAGAGGGAGCAGCTCAGCTGAGTCTAGGCTGATCATCTGTTAATTGTGCTGCAGGCTCCTGCTGGGAGAGTGCAGGAGTCACCAGATGCCAACGCCAGCCAGGTTAGTGCCTCTACCAAACCCCAGCTGACTGCCAAGGCAACGATTGCCGAGGGATCCCCTGCCTTGGAAGAAGGGGTAGGAAACGACCCAGGGAAGGGGCGGTAGTGATGGGTGACTGAGACTGAGTAGCGAGGTATCAGTTCCCTCGGGTCCTGGGTCGGGACTGGGTGAAGGGTAGGCCCAGGTCCCCCTACTCCATCTGACCTACCGTGGACACCGCCGACGTGCAGGGAGGTGAATTGGGCCATACAGCCCTGGGAAGAAAGGCGGCTACCTAGACTTTGGCCACTAGGTCCTATGTCCTGAACCCCAGGACAGCCCTACTGACTCTGGCCATTGGGCCATACTGCCCTGGGAAGGAAGGCGGCTACTTAAGACTTCAGCCTTAGGCCTTTCTGTCCTGAACCCCAGGCCTGTCTTAGTGACTTAGGCTGTGGGGCCATACTGGCCCAAGGGGCTGACAGGTATATCTGCCCTGCAACACCTTGTATAGAAATATCATAATAACATTATTATAATGTACTACTTGTATCCTGAAAAGTCAGCTTTACAACTAGATATACAACCTATACAGGTTACCTGACAATTATTTGGAAAATAGTAACACTACACAGGAATTTTTTCTACAGTAAGTGAGGAAAACTTTATTGAGACAAAAATACAGAAGAAATATAGAAAGGTAGAATGTAATTATCCAGACTGAATTTGGCAAAAACAACAGGATTAACCACCAAAGTAAATACAAGTGGCCAAGTTTTATGTATCATCTGAAAGAGGCATTTCCGGCAGCATCGTGCTACATAAAACCATGTTGGGGTATTGCTTCTGTGCTGACTGAGAAGAAAGAGTGCCAAACCACTCAATCACCAACATCACTTCCCATAGCACATAGGTCTGCCTTGGAGATCTACCATCCACACAGTGACCTGGCTTGATGCTGGTCAAAGTGTGAGAACTGATGCAGTCACCGCATAAAATGGTTGGTATAGCTGCAATTTATCACTGTCACAAACTGGAGGTTTGTAATTATGGTACACACCTGATCTTATGAAGGTCTCGGAAAACACCTGAGACCAGAAAACACGGTCTTGTAAGGTTAAGGGAGCCCGCTCAACTGTCTCTGTTCTTAGTATGGACCTGCTCTACAGTGAAAAATGTAGCAAACATTACCAAGCCTTGGTTAATCAAGAGCTTATGTAAATGGGAGCTGTAATATACCATTATTGCCTTAATGGTTGGAGTATAGGTTACTGAGAAAACAAGTTATGCCAATCTTGTTTTAGTCAAAGTAACATACTTCTTGGCTTCAGTGAAGAATTTTCACAGTCTGATTAAAAATCCCTTGAAGTGGCTAGAACCTCTCTGAAACGAATGGGAACAATTTCACTTTTATCAGTAAGGAGACAAAAGTCAAGTATATGATGAGTCTGAAACTCTTGAGTAGTAGGGCTGAGAATTCAGCAATAAACACCAGTCAGACAATGTCAAGTGAGAAGAAGGCTTAGCAAATGTTAGCAAAATCCATCCTTTCGGAGAGCAGTAGTACATCTCTTCTCAATGTAAGTGAACTGTCATGTTGTCTTTGCTTTGTTAACTTGTGAGTCACATAATAAACCATTTCAGAACAGCCATTAATCATTTCTTTACATTGTTTATCTTTACCTGTACCTGATTGCTTCTCTGCAGCTGCAATCCTCACAAGCCCCTGTTCATTTTGGGGCTCTTCATCATTCAATATAGCAGATACTTCTTTCACACTGTCCGTGCTCCCACTGCTTGCAGACACTAGCGGTTTAACCTAGAATTATTTCATAGGTTTATTAAACTCACATGCTGTGAATGCCCATGAACCTTCAAGTTGCATGCACATTAGTATAAAAGGTGGTAGGGTGTAGGTTTTTGAGAGTTACACTTAATAAAGGCGCAGCAGGCCAGTTTCACTACTGCTGGAAACCAACCACTAAGAATGAGCTCTCTTCTGGCTTCCCCGCTGCCTTGGGCACAGTCACCCTGGCAATTCCCTCTTTGCCATCAGGGCAGCTCTTTGAATGACCAGAAATGGGAGGAGTAGCAGGCTGTGTTTAGGCAGACCCCTTCCCCTCTTCCAGCCTGCATGCTGGGAAAGGATACTTTGAACCTAGAGTTTCTAAGATTGTCCTGGAGTCTCCAGGAATTAATTAATCTTTAATTGCTTAGAATTAATGTCCACAGATCTGGAACTCACATAGCCTGGTTTATATGGGGTACTTGTCTCTGGGCTGCCAGACTGCACATTTCTCACCATCTCTGCCTGGTGGTATTGATGTTTTCTGCAGGCTGGGCTATCCGGGGAATGCCATGTAAGAGCTTCTGAAATGGATTTTCCTGCCACATAAAAAAATAAAATAAATTAAAAAACCCTGAATCTGAGCCCCTCAAGTCTGTAGTGAAACATTTACTTTTTAAATAAATTAAGACGTGTTCTGAAGAATGTGGCACCAAGTGATGGCATCAAAATGACAGTTCTGCAGCTTTCCTTGCAAAGCATGCACATTTGCAAAATGTCAACAGTAATCCAGAAGGTAATGAAATGACAGCCATGCAGTTATGGGACATTTTATTTTCTTCTGAAAATGTTTGGCTGCAATATGATTTAAAACAAGAAAAGAAAAGTTTGCGCCGTAGTTTTGGGAAGTTCCCATTCCCATGATACTATCATTTTGCTGCAATGCATGACAAGTGAGTTAAGAATAGACCTGTCCTGACTGGAAGAGAATAGTGAATGCTCATTTGGGATTTAACGGATGGCATGCCCAAGGCTGTCACACACAATGCAAAATGATAAGCGATAGTTAAAGTGCTGCTTTTACTTGCAAAAGTAAACTACTGTCTCAGTAAATGGGTGATTACAATCAACAAGGAAAAAAAAATAATACCCAGACCAAACCACCATGAAAGAGCTGAAAGATTTTGGATCAATATAATGAAATGCACATTAACCATCTCTGCATCTGACAGGAAAATTCTAAATGGCATGTTCTTGAATGCTTTGTAATGTACATGTGTTTCTACTGCAGCGTAAAAACACCATGACACAATGGCACATGGTGTCCACACAAGGCAGGAAATCAGACGTTACATATGAAACAGGTTTAGGAATATAGCGTGCGCCACAGGGAGATTGCCATGTTCAGACACATGCATTAGCAGGTGCCTACCAGAAGATGCTTTCAAAGTTTTTGTGGTCATTTTAAGATATGCCTCAGGATTTTCAGTGATTTCTACATCTGAAAGAGAATAATGTCATTTTCCTCACTGGACAAATATTCAATATTTACTGAATATGAAATAGAAACATCTGAAATATTGACTGACTGAAAGGAAAAACTTCATTACTATTTTCATCAGACATTTTTAGAAAACAAAGAATTTGGGGGGCATTCAAAACTTTGTTTGGTTTAGACAAAACTATCCTTTTTGTCCAGACAATATGATGAAGAGTTGAATAACTCACATTTTTGTACCATTACAAATTTTAAAAAAAACAAACAAACAAACAGGTGCCACTTCAGGGGTCTTGGAGGTGGCTATACTGAAACAAAAATGTCTGGGATTATTGGCTCTTACCTGAGAGAGCACTGTAGTATGTTCCTTCTTCTTCATCCTCATGAGAGGAAGAGCCCCCTACATCACCTGTGTGATCCCATTCAAGTGGGATGGAGTCAACACTGACAGGGGTCTCACAGCCTGACCTTTCATGAGCTGGTGCAGGGGACACAAGATGGCAAAGGGACTGCTGAGAAGAAGGCACCTCATTTATTGCCTTCTTATGCCAGGGATCATTTTGCATTTCTCTTGAGTCTTCTGCATCTGTCTCATTTTCAGATGTATCTTTGTCATCTTCTATCCCCTAAAAATAATTGTTTTATATTGTGATGAATGAACACAGATCTAGGTCACTTAACAAGTGACGCAGTAAGAGGTGGAGAAATACAGAAGATTATTTTTGTGGCAGGCAGACATCAGCCTGTGATGGTCTGTCCCCGCCGTATGTTCTTAAACTGATCCTCACTTCTCTCCCCTTCCTTTTCTTCTGCAGCCACAACTTCTATCTCAGCACAGTACTTAGCCCTCCTCCCCATATCACCACTGAGATGCCTCCCTTCTGCAAACAAGAATGGGTAGCCAGTTCCAGTGTGGCACCATCAGGTGGACAATGGGAAGCATTACTCCGCTAATTAAGTTCTTTTTAATAGATGGTATTTCTTTTTGAGCCAAAACTCACTGAGCATTGGCTAATAGCTCCCAGTGACAAGTAAAGACTGGCGTTAGTCCCCCAAGTGAAAGTGAAGAACAAACCAGGGACACAAATAAATCTATTGTGATTATCCAAAAGAAAATGTTGATGGAATGTTATGGAAGCTAATAAAAGGAATAATAACTGGTACAAGAATCTGCATGGAACATTTTCAAGCCCTTTACCATTATTGACTAATTAAGCCCCACAACATCCCTGTGATTGGTCTTGTCTCTTGACAAATAAAAAATGAGTGGCAAAGCTGGAATGATTACTGAGGAGTTCCTGACCCCTCTGCACTCAATCCTTTAAGACGGGATGGGCAAACCTTTTGGCCCGAGGGCCACATATAGGTATAGAAATTGTATGGTTTGCCATGAATGCTCACGAAATTGGGGGTTGGGATGAGGGCTAGGATTGAGGGCTCTGGGGTGGGGCTGAGGGGTTGGAGGTGCAGGAGGGTGCTCTGGGCTAGGACTGAGGGATCTGGAGGGCGGGAGGGGGAATCAGGTGTGGGGTAGCGGGCTGGGGCACGGGAGAGGGTCGGGGTGCAGGCTCTGGGGTGCTCTATCTCAAGCAGCTCCCAGAAGCAGCGGCATGTCCCACCCCTCCGGCTCCTACGCGGAGGCACAGCCAGGCGGCTCTGCGCGCTGCCCCATCTGCAGGCGCCACCCCTGAAGCTCACATTGGCTGTAGTTCCTGGCCAATGGGAACTGCGGGGGCGGCACTTCGGGAGCAGCCTGCGGAGCCCCCTGGCTGCCCCTATGCATAGGAGCCGGAAGGGGGACATACTGCTGCTTCTGGGAGCCGCGCGGAGCAAGGCAAGTCCCCGACCCCGCTCCCCGGCTGGAGCGGGGCAAGCCCTGGATCCCGCTCCCCGGCTGGAGCGGGGCAAGCCCTGGAACCCACTCCCCAGCAGGAGCTCAAGGGCCAGATTAAAACATCTGGAGGGCTGAATGCAGCCCCGGGCTGTAGTTTGCCCACCCCTGCATTAAGACCATGCTGCTACTCAGCTACTGCTACGCAATGAGTATTTCATTTTCATATCAACACTCTGCCAAAGCAGCAAGATCATACTTATCCCTTACAGGATGCCTGGAAGTTAATCTTTGGTGGAATCGAGAGACTCGTCCAAACACTTCCTGACAGTATCTATGCAGTTCCTCCAACTCATCTTCGATCAGGGTAGCATCCAAAGGCTCACTCTTCTGAATCAGCTGCTCTCCAAAAACTATTAGCTGATCGATCTTATTGGTGTTTAGGGTTATTTCCTGTTGGAAACCCTATATTGAACATACATAAGAAATGGTTACTTAAGCAGTGTTTCTTTCTTGCCTGTGCTTGAGGCTGTCCTTCTGTTCTAGCATTGTAAAGTGAAAGGAATCTGAATACGGGCACAGTCATCTATCTTCTTCTGGCAGATAGCTTTCTATCCACCATCTGTAAAGGTTTGTTTTTTGTTTTGCTAGTAAAAGTTGTGAGAGTGAATTTACTGTGTGAATTTAGGGGCTGATTGAAATTAGCACAAAGTGAAGTTCTCCATCCATGCAACAGGAACAGCACAGGCAATAGCAATTCAAACTTGCCCACACTATCCAGTTGATGTACCTCAAATGTGTGAAAGAGTAGGCTATTCCTCATGCCTACGCAAAGCCTTCCAGTAAGCACCCCGGTACCAATGACTGTATTTGTGATGTAGGGACCTAGCCACTAAAACCTGAATGCATTCCATCTTTGCTATTGAAATAGATGGCAAAAACTTCTGGTCACCATTAGCTTGAACAAGTGACTTTAGGTAACTTGAACCATCATGTCCCCCTTGCCACTAAGTCACCTTTTGAACTTTGCACATATATAAACTGAATATATGCTGTGGAACAACAAGAATGTGTTATGGGGGAAGGACAGAAGAGTACTGCTGAAAGGAAAATCAACTTAATTATTCATGTAGCAAAGAATTAATACCTTCCTGAAGGAATGTCACAAAAGCTAGTATATATATGCGTGATTGAAATTTTCAAAGAATACACCTCCCAAATATGCTACATTATATTAAAAATCCTCATGGGAGATAATAATATTACAGAACTGGACCTATCTTCAAGTTGGCTAACAGATTCTAAATTCTGATTTTAGGTATATAGCTCTTTAGTGATTGCTGTTTATGTTTACCCAGATTTAAGCTATCTTTCAACAAGTTTAATATAACTGTCATTGACACTACGTTGTAAGGGGGAATGGAAAGATAGAATTGAAGACTCTGAATACTGAACTTACATTTTATAGAAAGTATTTTTTATGTTGAATTGTACAATTATTTTTTTAAAGTTTACTGATCCTATAACAAATATGATCTGATGGACATAATGTATGTTGTCATGAAATTAGCCCACAGATAACTGGCAGGCATTATCAATAGACTACAGACTGACATTATCATCTTTGTTCTGTAAAACAGCTATTTTGAATGATACATACGTTTAATTGCCGCATTTTGTCATCAAAGTTACTCTCTGAGAAGTGTTCCACATTTGTCAGCTGAAGGTCCATTTCTGTGAGCCACACAAGAATGCTTTCCCTTGTTCCCTCAAACTCATCTCTCTGGTTGGTGAAGTACTGAATAAGAAAAGGGCAGCTGTACATTATTAGTTTAGTTACTGAATAAAGATTGTCATAGGAGCATTTTAAAACTGGCATTTTCTTTCAGAATTGCTGTTCATTTTAAATAGACGGGTGTAAGGCCTTGTCTACCCACCAGAGATAGTCTAAGTTGGGTATACTTAAAGCAGTACAACCCCTGCTAGCACGGACACTGTTATACTGATATAAAGGTGTTTATGCCACACAGGAAGGGGACTGAGGTATATGAATATAAAGCACCTTTATACCAGTATAACTACACCCACACTAGGGGGGGTGTCCTGGTATAACTATACTGGTAAAAAAATAAAAAAATCCACACCCCTAATCCACATAGTTCTACCAGTACAAAAACCGTGTTTGGACTAGGGTTTAGTTGTTTTTGCTGCTAACTTTAGCAGCTAGTTTAGATAAAGGAAACAAGTCCCATCTCTAATTAAAATTAATCATCAAAATTAGCAAAATGATTAATTAGCTGGAATGTGGAAATACTCTCAAGTGTAATTATCATGCCATTTGGTGTTAAAGCCATTTGTATAAATTTGTTCTACTTCCTGCTGTCTCCCACCTGGGTGGATATCAGAAGAGGAGCTTTCTCCATCATAGCCTGCTAAATAGCTCCCAAACAATAAATATACTGAAGAGAGATTAGGTAAAAGAGTACAAATGACACTTTCTAACTGCAGGTTTGCTCCCTTTGCTTGGTTACAGTCAGTTCTGCTGATTTTGGGGGATTTATTTTTCTTCCTAGCGCTTGCTGGGAACTTGCTATATCATAAATTGGGCTGTGACTAGCTTTTCCAGGCCACAGCACAGGTATTTGAGCCCTGAAGTCAGTTTAACCAGCTCAGAGAGGATTACCTAAGTATTAGAACGAGCCTGATACTCTTTTGCTGCTCCCCTCCACTGTGGCTCACGTTGCAGGAAAAAGGAGGTCTGGCCAAAGAAAAGGGTGTGGCCAGTATGCCCCTTCACCATAACTTGGACATTTTCAACCCTTTGGGCCTGTCACAAACCAGCATAAATTACAGCGGCCTTGTACAACACTACACCAGGATCTAGGGAAAGAACTTTAAGCTTCTTTTGCACCCCAGCCCCACTCTGTGCAATTCAGTTGAACCTCAGGACGTTGCCCTCTAAATTCAGAAAGGCACAGAGTTATATTCAGTCTTGGAACAGATAGGTGCAATTCCAATTAAGTTAGAAGAGATGCACCTACTTACTCCAGTGCTGAAATTACCCCAATAGTAGGTGTGAGGGAGTTCAAAGCAAAAAGGGATGTGGTTAAGCTAGGGAAGTGTATTCTGTGTAAAATGTGCTTATGCTTTAGCCATGAAAAGCCCTATTTATGACACAGCAGGCCCCCAGCAAGCCTATATTTCGTGCAGCAGCCCCCGGAGCCTTGTTTAGCATCAGGATTGCCACTCAGCATAGGTCACCTGAGGACTGGTTCATAAGGCAAATGAAGAAGTCAAAGTAAAGTCTCTCAAACTCTGGCAGAAGTTAAGCAGAGCGCATCATGTACCATGAACACAGCCACAGAAGGGTGCTGGGTCAGAGGAGAGGCAGAACAGGAGCAGTACTACCTGGGGGAGGGGTGAAAGATGTGCTCTCCAAAATATTGCCTGTTACTCCCCTACTCTTCACCTTCCAGCAGCGCTGGTTAAAGCCAATCTATTTGTTAAGGACAAATGCCACCAAATGGCCTCCCTATGAGGTGCCCTCAAGCACTGATTGGTAACTTACACACCTTGCTGCATTCACTGCTGGTTGCACTTTACTGAAAAAAACAAAAGGAAGTATTTCTTCACACAATGCACAGTCAACCTGTGGCACTCTTTGCCAGAGGATGTTGTGAAGGCCAAGACTAGGGTTCAAAAAAGAACTAGATAAATTCATGGAGGATAGGTCCATCAATGGCTATTAGCCAAGATGAGCAGGGATGGTGTCACTAGTCTCTGTTTGCCAGAAGCTGGGAATGGGTGACGGGATGGATCACTTGATGATTACCTGTTCTGTTCATTCCCTCTGGGCACCTGGCATTGGTCACTGTCAGAAGACAGGATACTGGGCTAAATAGACCTTGGGTCTGACTCAGTATGGCCATTCTTATGTTATGTTCTTATGACTGCAGCATCCCAGTTTGGATTGACAGACTTTCTTGGGATAACTTTATCCACGTCTCCATATTTAGTTCTAGTTAAGAACAAAGGCCAGCTTCTTGTACCTGACTCCTGTGCCAAGCCCTTTCCCCCCAGCCCTGGTTGCAGGAGTGTCAGAGGTGGGGTAGGGTGTGCCAGGAGCACAGCTGTCCCTAGGGAACCACTGCCACCTTGGGTAGATTAGAGCAGCAGATTCCACCCTGAAAATCGGAGCTATAACAGGCTGCCTGATGGCATCCCTTATCTTCTGTTGCACTAAGTGGAAATCCCGCGCAGCAGAGAACCTGGGGCAAATGTTCAACCTTAGCTTGAGCTGTCTTTGATTTTGCTGGTTTGTGTTCCAGCCTTATTGTTCCTTACATAAACTTTATAAATGCAAAATCTAACTGTAGAGATGAGCATTCTCATAACAACTTTGCACTTAGGTAGTGTTATTTCTACATGGGCCTCACAGTGCTTTACACTAACCCGCACAACACCCTGTGATTACCTTCAGTCTTCTTAGAATGGCAGCAACCCGTTTCTGGAGATTGTCCCAGCGCTGGTTGCCTTCATGTACCATCTGCTTCAGCTTGCTGGCTGAATCTGTACGATTCTCCCGGGCAAGCCGCCTATATTGTTTATTGATTAGCTCCAGCTGAGTGAGTCGCTCATGAATTTGTCGTTGAAATGCCTGTAATGCAAATTTAGTAATCTTATTCCTTTGCACTTTGGAGAAAGGATCGATAAAATACTGCAATCATGGAACAGAAAAATCAGATCCTCAAAATCAATCAGAACCATGATTATGTTTTATCACCACAACCTGCCCTCAGATGTGTGTTTACAGCTCCCCACTGAAGTCACAGGATGTGAGAGCACATACGCAATTTGTCCTACTTACAGAATTTAGTCTATTACAGTTTCTTGTCCAATTGGAAATAAATGATCACATCCAAAATAAATGTAGTATATAATAGCTTGCAATCTCTTAGACTTTTATAAGCAAAACAAACAGCTGAGTTACACGAGCAAATAAAATGTAGCTTTTAATAATCTACTATTAAGGACTGTTTAGAGGATCATCAACTGCTTGGAGAAAATGTGTCTAAAAGCAGTTCAAACACTGGCCCCAGGAACTAATACAAAGGCACAGTCTATTTGTTAGAGCCAGAGCCAGTGCTAGGCATAAGCAGAGTAAGCAATTGCTTAGAGCCCCAAGCTGCTCAAGGGAGCCCCTATTAATTATTAGCATGTGTTGGGGCCCCCCAAAATATTCCTGCTTAGGCCCCCCAATGGGCTAGTACCACCTCTGGTTAGAGCAAATAAGTATCAGGAATGTTGGGTTCTGTTCCCAACTCTGTCACTGACTTGCTGCCTAATGCTGGGGAAGTTATTTAACCTCTCTGTCCCACCGTTTGCCTATCTGAAAGATGGGTTTAAGCATATTCCCGTATCTCGGAGAGGAGCTGTGAAGTCTGTAAAGAGCTTTGAGAGGCTCAGATGAAAGGTGCTTTATATGTGCAAGAATCAGTATTCTCAATAAGCACACATGATGTCTCTGAAACATCAATAGCTGAAATGAAAAGTGTTCACCTCAAACTTCTTCAGCTCCTCTTTGGCATTTGTGTATAAAACTTCGGAAGAGTTGGGATAAGCTGCTGTCCTTTCGGCTGATTTCAACCAGTCTTCAAAGCGAGAATAGTCATCCAAAAACTTCTGCCACAGGCGCCAGGTTTCCTCAATTCTGAGTTGGGGGGTGAGAGGGAAGAAAGGCTCTGCTTTATCACAAGCTTGCCAATCATGTCTCAACAATTTTTGCTTTTCTCTTCAAAATTTGGTTCATGTAGAATGCAACAAAATGCCCTGAAATATTGCACAGTTACATACACGTCCTAGACGTGTCAGAAAAGGACTCACTTCATTCGCCTCTCCATAGACATGGAACAAATGTTTCTCCACCGTCTGTCCAGACTCCTGGTAGTCTGCTGGATGGAGTCACATTCCGTCTCATTAGCACATGCATCTGAATCGCTCAGCAACTTTTCACAGATATTAAACACAGATTCTACCCCTTCACTGTGCTGCTCAATGTCTCGTTGCAGATCCTGTGATTAGGAAATAAAAACAGTTTAATTAACAAGCAATTAAACATATACATTCCCTTGTAATAGGTTGTAACGGACAGAGAAGAGTGATGCAATTTTAGTTTTAATGAAAGGACTTCCAGAATGTGTTGAACAAATGACAAACTGAAAGAAGAGATCAGAGAGCTGTCATGAGAAAGTGCATTCTTCCCCATTTAATTTCTCAGTGAAAGTCCAATATCTTCATTAATAATTTGGACAAGTATAATACACATTCAAAATCCAAACCACACATTCTACATTGTAAATATGTAAAGACAAATGTATTTGTTTTTACAATATCAGACAGCATCTCCTTCTTGGTTTATTCCACTATAAACTATAGCGGTGAATACACAGGATAATTCATAACCTCAGTGAATGCAAGAGTATAATTCACGTCACTCTGGTAATATCACAAACTGCAGAAGAGTGGCACACACCAAAGAGTCACATCTGCAATTTTTCAGTTTCTCCCTCTGGGATCATCTACTCCATGGTATCATTTAAAAATGCAAAGTAAAGTTCTCTTGTCCAATCTGCACTATGTATTTTCTTCTCCAGAGTCTGTACTTCCATTGCGTATGTGACACTTATCCCATATGTGCAACTCCTATTGAGACCAATGCAATAAATGCAGAATGTGCAATAGATATCCAAAGTGCAGGGTCAGAGAAGAAAACATCATCTGAAATGCTATTAAAAAGCCACCCCATGCAACCCTAGGGACTTGGGAAATACCATTTAATATTAAATTAACCACGTTTACATTTTTATGACCTCTTCCTGGCTCCACTACTGAAGATGCAATGACTCTGCCGGAACTTTATTGCAACACAAGCAAAGAATGTCAATGGGAAATCCCATTAAATGGTAATGCCAATTCCACCAGCACTCTTGAACAAGAAATCCATCGCTGGTTTTGTTCTTGATTTTACAGCCCAGGGAGAACCCACAGGAATAGAGAAGAACACAAGGACTTAAAGGAAGATGCTCTCAGGAATTAATAAAAGACGAACAGTTTAACTTCAAAATGTTAGCACAAAAGGACCAAAACCCCACTGGCTGATCTAAGTGAGAGTAGCATGTGTACCTGAAAGCAGAACTAAGCCATAAATGACCAAAGTTAAAGTATATAGAGTATTTTACATAAAAAGAAATATTCTTGGAGTTAATGAAAAGCTGCTGCTATTGATAATGATTTATGACATCATCCGTACTACTCACAGAGGTTTCTTTCTGAGGCTGCTAGAACACCAACTAATGCCAGAGTTTTGTATGTATCTTGCTAAAATTCAACTCTGTCTAGTTTGTTATCTAACCACATAGAGAAGAATGTCAACTGTGACTTGAACCTCTTGGGCCAGATTCTGCCGCCCTTATTCACACTGCCCGTGAGTTACTCCTTGAGACGCACCATTGATTTCAATGGCACTATTCACAGAGGGCTAGACTGTGACTTTAGGCAAGGGGGGGTGATACACAAGCTGGCTATCCCAGTAGTACCTTTGTGCTGAATCACCACTTTGAGTAACAATTCTACCCTGATTCCTCCTTGTCACTGGAGGTGTAGTAATCTGTTGTTGGCCTATACCAGCAGTTTGTTACTATCCTCCCATTCCCCCTGTGGCTCAGCTTCTGTGCGTGGAGGGTGGGGAAGCGGAGGCAAGGCTCTGTCCTGTCCCTAATCTCCCACTCCATGGAGGGAGTAAGCAGACAATTAGCCTTACTTACTCCTATCCACCTGGACCAAGAGCAAGGTAGAGGGATAAGGAGTGGTGGGGAGGTGTCTTACTCCTCTGTGTGAATCACCGTCTAGCCCAGAGTAACATACTGTTCAGCACGAGTGTCAAAATCTAACCCGTGTTTTTCTGACTGACTGCAATGTGTATTGTTACAGTCTTCCTGTTCGCGGACAGCTCAGCTGTTCTTTGGTTCTCTGTTACTTTTGCCTGGTAGTTCTGGAACTTCTGGAAAGCAAGAGCAGTAATCCTTATACAGATGCTAAAAGAAGATCCAGCACAGGATTTAAATAGGTTACTATGGATTCTAGGCTGTTCTCTCTATGCAAGAAGACACTTGTCTTTTGAATCTGCCACCTGTACATAGGGACAGATTCCACTCTCTGTTACGCTGCTGTAAATCTACGACTGACTTGAGGGATGTTACTCTGGACTTACTTACATTGGTGTAACCGTGATCAGAATCTTGCCCACAGAGTACAAAAACTATTCTATTAATGCAAAAGTGTCTTGCTGATACTACCAAAGTATTGTTATTATCCGTTATGTTTTGGTTCATATAATAACTTCAGTCAGAATCCTTGCTGCTATCACAACTGCTTAATTAAAATGATGTTAAATCTCATTAAGGTGGCAAGACAAACAAACTAAAACACACTAAATGATGAGGCAGAAAACATGCATACAGAACAAAAAACTCCTCAATTCATTGCTCAAAGTTTATTAGACTTAATTATTTAACTGGCCCTACAATGCTGGACTCCTCCTGCAATACTGAGACATCTTTAATTTGTATTTTAAATCTTAAACAGAATGCCTTATGTTGCAATCTTCAACCTGCAGATGAATGAAACATGTTATAAAAGCATCTCCGCCTGCAAACAATTACCCAGAGTTTTAGAATTAACAGTTATTCAAGACAGCATACATAGCACCTTTGTGATCATGGATGTCCAACATAAAAGAATCCATTAAGACATATTCCTCACCATTAGGCTGTATCCATCAAAATATTTTTTGAAATAAAACCAAGGAAGATCTTTTCAAACCCCTATGTGAATGCAACAAGCAAAGCTCAGTAAAAGGCTTTCTGCTTTGAGCTCTTTAGAGTGAGCACTACCTTGCCATATCCAGTGTGTTTAAAGGTTACAGCAGAAGGAGGCTAGGGGTGTCTCAGACGTCTTTGTTTAAAATGAAATCCAAGCAACCAAACAGTAGCTTATTCTATAGGACTCTGAGGAGTAAATAATGTATCTTTGCAGTTGAAGTCTGAATGGCCATAATAAAAATAAATTAATTCGGACACAATTCTTTTGTGTCCCAAGTCTCTGTTTTCTGCTCCCAGGAGGAGCTACCTAGGGTGTCAGCCGGGCATAATTTATCACAGCCTATGGAAGCTAAAAGGTTTGAATGAGGGGAAAATAATAACTTGTTATTTACAGAACCGTTACCATTGCAGATTAACCATTAAACACTGGGAGCCAAAGGCCACCCTTGCTGCTGCCTGCATGCGCAGCTCCTCCCACTGAAGTCAATGGGAGCCATGCCCACTACCTCTGCGAAGGGTGAGTCTGACCCTGACGGTAACTTCTCCTGAAGTGCTGTGTTGAGCTCTGTGGAAAGGAAGCTCAAATAATTCCACAGGGAACGGAGCTCTCATATCTGGATTAGTCACGGTCATTTTTCTCAGACAAAGGGACAGACAGTGGGGCGGGGAGGAAGCGCTTAAGCAGCCATGCATGTTGTTTGCAGGCAGACCTGTAAGCCTCCACTTTTGGAAAGTTTAGCCCTAAAAGTTTTAGGGTAAACTATAAATGCCCCTATTATGGTGATGGTCAGAGTTAAGTCGTAGGACCTGTTGTCCCACAGTGGCAGGTATTTTTAATCTGTTTGTGCAGACACTTCAGCCTAGATTGTGCCTTTAGGCACTGCCCGAAGCAAGGGGTGATGATGTATAAATTGCACTGCTTCAGCAGTAGCCTCAGGAGGTGTTGGGACTCAGTGACACTCCTCAGAGCCACAGTCCCCTCCCTGCTTCTCCCATCCACGAGTGGGTGAGTGCAGTAATGCCACCCCTGTCCTGCCTCCCAAAATCAACTCAGTTGTACTAGCTGCTTTGTTAAGGCCCTGCCCGTTCCTGTGAGGAATTCCTGCCTATCTGCCCTGGGGGAAGCAAGCAGGTACGGGTCAAGGTACTCCGTGCAGAGAGGTTCACTCTATCCCTCGCTCCTGTGCATGGGCACAGTCTAAGGGCTAGTCTACACGGGCAATGGTAAAAGCGCTGCAGTGCTTTAACGTGGCTTGTGTGGTCGTGGCAGCGCGCTGGGAGGGAGCTTTCCCAGGGCTCTAAAAAAACCCACCTCCACGAGGGGTGCAGCTCCCAGCGCTGGTGCACTGTCTACTCTGGCGCTTTACAGCGCTGAAACTTGTGGTGCTCAAGGTGGTGTTTTTTCACACCCCTGAGCAAGAAAGTTGCAGTGCTGTAAATTGCCAGGGTAGACAAGCCCTACGTCACTGTCTAGCCCTGAAGCATCTGCTGTCTTTAACCGAGCAAAGCCTCATCCAAAGAGGAAGAGGATAAGAGAACAAACAACAAGAGAGAGGTGTAGTCACATTGCTTAATGCACTACAGTACTGAAAGGCGGGAAAGGATTTTATGAGTTTTTTTGTTTGTTTCTACAATATTTAAATTTCAAAAACATTCTCTAAGTGTTAAATCCCTATAAAGTGTCTCAAAAATACTCTGTTAAGTGCAGTGTATTGTAGCCAGGTCAGTCTCAGGATATTAGAGAGACAAGGTGGGTGAGGTAATGTCTTTCACAGGACCAACTTCTGTTGATGAGAGAGACAAGTTTTCGAGCCACAAAGGGCTCTTCTTCAGATCTGAGAAAGGTACTCGCAGTGTCACAGCAAAATGCAAGGTGGAACAGATTGCTTAGCATAAATAGTTAGCACATACCGTAAGAGACCATTCAAGATAGAGTGGCCCATTAATACCTCTGCAGTCACAGGACAAAAAGAGGGGGTTAGTGGGTTAGAGATTGTTGTAATAAGCCATAAATCCAGTGTCTCTGTTCAATCCATGATTTTTAGTGTCTAGAAGAATAATGAATTTAAGCTCCCAGCCTCATCTTTTGAAAGTATTGTCGTTTTCTTTTGAGGATGAGGACTGGTAGGTCAGATATAGAGTGATCATTTTGTGAAAAGCGTTCACCCACAGGTGATAGAGTGCTTTTGACTTTTTTTCAGAAAAATGATAAAAGACAAAAAAATCACCTGCAAAACAATTTCAAAAGATGAGCCTGGGAGCTTAAATTCATTACTTTGCTAGACACTAAAAATCATGGACTGAACGGACACTGTTCAGACAAGAGATACCTTGAGTGGTCCCTTACAATATGTGCTATTCATGCTAAACAATTAGTTCCACCTTGCATTTTGCTGTAACATTGGGAGTACCATTCCCAGACCTGAAGAAGAGCTCTGTGTGGCTCAAAAGCTTGTCTCTCTTTCACCAATAGAAGATGGTCTAATAAAAGATATTACCTCACCTACCTTGTCCCACTTTGGCAGGAAACACAATGGCTCAAAATGTGAACAACAGAAAAGTCAGTCAAGGAAAGGAAATGGGTGATTTTAAACATAGGACTGATCACAATCAGCATTACTTTACGCCCATTTATTTCAGATGCTATGATTTCCCCACCTGCTGCTCAGCAAGTCTTTTCTGGATCTCTTGATCATCACAGATGTCATACACAACAGGCTTGGAAAGCTCGGCCTCAATGCGAGCCAACCAGGTGCGAAGGGTACTCATATTTTTGTCTAACGTCTGTATGACAGCAAAGGTCCCTTCCAGTTTCTTCAGCCTGGGGATATTGGAAAGAAAACAGGTTGTTATAAACACATTTAACATGGAAGCAGTATTAGCAGAGGCTCTGGAAATGAAGAAAGTATGATTTATAGAGTATTCTTATCTCCAAACTGACCTGCCTTCTGCAGATTAAAGCCACATTTTAATTATAACCTACCCAAATTGGCACAGCGGATGCCTCCACAGCTGCAGAAAGTCCTAAGTGAGTCATTTAAGGAGACCCCCCCCCCAACCTGAAGCAAATACTCACCAGCAACCACACATCACTGAACAAAAACACTGACCCAGGAACCTATCCTTGCAACAAAGCCCGATGCCAACTCTGTCCACATATCTATTCAAGTGACATCATGATAGGACCTAATCACATCAGCCATACCATCAGGGGCTCATTCACCTGCACATCTACCAATGTGATATATGCCATCATGTGCCAGCAATGCCCCTCTGCCATGTATATTGGCCAAACCAGACAGTCTCTACGCAATAGAATTAATGGACACAAATCTGACATCAGGAATCATAATACTCAAAAACCAGTGGGAGAACACTTTAACCTGTCTGGTCATTCAATGACAGACCTGCGGGTGGCTATTTTACAACAGAAAAGCTTCAAAAACAGACTCCAACGAGAAACTGCTGAACTCAAATTGATATGCAAATTAGACACAATCAATTTAGGTTTGAATAAAGACTGGGAATGGCTGAGCCATTACAAACATTGAATTTATCTCCCCATGTAAGTACTCTCACACTTCTTATCAACCTGTCTGTACTGGGCTATCTTGATTATCACTTCAAAAGGTTTTTTTCTCTTAATTGGCTTCTCAGAGTTGGTAAGACAACTCCCACCTATTCATGCTCTCTGTATGCGTGTATATATATCTCCTCAATATATGTTCCATTCTATGCATCCGAAGAGGTGGGATGTAGCCCACGAAAGCTTATGCTCAAATAAATTTGTTATTCTCTAAGGTGCCACAAGTACTCCTGTTCTTTTTGCGGATACAGACTAACACAGCTGCTACTCTGAAACCTGACATTTAAGGAGATGTTGTGAACAGGGAGTGGCCCTCCTAGCCTCATTCGAGTGCTAGTGGGTTCCTTAGTCATTTCCCTGAGGACATGTATACAGAAAACTTGCCCCAGTGTACATTTTGTGTATTTGAGACAATCTAGACACCCCCATCTTCCTGGGGTGCAGTGTGACTCCACATTGCACCAAAATACAGGGCTGTGCATCCCAGGTAGGAGCTGCTCCTTAGTCTTTGAGCTGCATGCTCCATTGCTTGCATAAGTGAAGCCATTTACATCCATGCAAAATGGGTCTAAAACACTACTGGGTCAATTCGGATCTCTCCTCTCGTTTACACTGGTAGTATTTTACAACTATTTGATACAAGTATACATGAGGCAAGGCAATGGAAAAATCATTATTTTCCCTAGTTTTCTAGGATGGGCTCTTTCTCAAGCTACTCTCACATGTGAATTACAGTTCAATCTGGAAGGACGGGCACCCTGCCAGCAGATTTTGATCCTGCTGGGAATATGTTAAGTGGGTTGTGCTGCCCCACTGAGGGAGATGGTTTGCTACACCAGCTCTATACCTGGGGGATGGGAGTTCTCTAGAGAGAGAGATGGAAGACGTAGGGCATGGGTTGAGCAGTCTGAAGAGAGGAATCTCAGAACAGCCATGCCTTGGGAAAAGGTTTGAAATGCATATATGTGTTGTTTTAGTGTTAATTTCTGTGTTAATAAAGCCAACCCCCAGGAAAAGGGGTGAGTTTGGACACTGCACTCTGTGTGGACTATGCCTCTGCCTCTTCTGTTTTCAGCAGATCTGCGGGTTAGGGCACACATCTCTATGGCTTCCCTAAACAGGCCATCTATACTTTTGTCTCCATAGCAATGGGATATTTTGGCCACATGGACTATGTCCATGCTGGTTTATGCAGAAGTGTGCAATAGAACCCTCTAACATACATGAAACAGAGAGGTGAAGCTAGCATAATAAATCTAAAATGAGAAATTTAAATAAGCCACTGTGAAGAGAGAGAGAGAGAGAGACATGTTTCAGAAAAGGTCCCGCTCTGATTTGCAAGGACAGCAGAGACTGTGGGCCAGATCCATCCATGGTATACTCCCTCTGTAGTCAATGAAGTTACATCAGGAAGGAATCTAGTTCTGGCTCTCTCTTGCCCAGATGGGTTAACTTTATTTCCCCTCACTCCCATCTTAGCATCTAAAATAGGCCAAAGTCACAGGTAGTATATCCATTCATCTGCTCCAGGATGGTGATTCCTGTGTACCTGTTTTGTACGGGTAAATTTACAGTTCCTGATTGATGATTTCCATGGGAAAGGTAGATTGCTACTCTGCCGTGGCAGCTATTGCCCTGCTTCAACAGTGGTTTGGAAATGCTTTTTCAGATACGACAAGGGAGCTTGATATGGCTGTAGTTCAACTGGATATAAGAATGGCCATACTGAGTCATCTAGCCCAGTATCCTGTCGTCTGACAGTGACCAATGCCAGGTGCTTCAGAGGGAATGAAAAGAACAGGTAATCATAAGTGATCCATCCCATGTCGTCCACTCCCAGCTTCTGGCAAACAGAGGCTAGGGACACTCAGAACATGGTGTTGCATCCCTGCTAATAGCCATTGATGGACCTGTCCTCCAGGAACTAATCTAGTTCTTTTTTGAACCCTGTAATAGTTTTAGCCTTCACAACATCCTCTGGCAAAGAATTCCACAGGTTGATTCTGTGTTGTGTGAAGATGTGGTTCCTTTTGTTTGTTTTAAACCTGCTGCCTATTACTTTCATTGGGTGACCCATATTTCTTGTGTTACGTGAAGGAGTGAATAATATTTCCTTATTCACTTTCTCCACACTAGTCAAGATTTTATAGACCTTTATCATATCCGCCTTTTGTCGTCTCTTTTCCAAGTTGAAAAGTCCTAGTCTTTTTAATCTCTCCTCATACGGAAGCTGTTCCATAACCCTAATAATTTTTGTTGCCCCTTTCTGGAACCTTTTCCAATTCCAATATATCTTTTTTGAGATGGGGTGATCAGATCTGCACTCAGTATTCAAGGTGTGGGTGTACATGGATTTATAGAGAGGCAAAATGATATTTTCTGTCTTATTATCAATCCCTTTCCTAATGGTTTGTAACATTCTGTTAGCTTTTTTGACTGCCACTGCACATTGAGTGGATATAAGTGATCCATCCCCTGTCATCCACTCCCTGCTGGCTATGTTTTCAGGCAACTACCCACAATGACCCCAAGATCTCTTTCTTAAGTGACAGATAATATAGATCCCATCATTTTATATGTATAGTTGGGATTATGTTTTCCAATATGCATTACTTTGCATTTATCAACATTGAGTTTCATCTGCCATTTTGTTGCCTAGTCACCCAGTTTTGGGAAATCCTTTTGTAATTCTTTGCAGTCTGCTTTGGACTTAACTACCCTGAGTAATTTTGTATCATCTGCAAATTTTGCGACCTCAAAGTTTACCCCTTTTTCCAGCTCATGTGTGAATATGTTGAACAGCACTGGCCCCAGTACAGACTCCTGGGGGACACCACAATTTTCCACTCTTCGCTTTTCAAATCCCCTTGCGTATCTACAAAACCACTGTGTATTGTACATACAGAATACCATAAAGTGCTCAGGTCTTTGCATTCAGACAACATATGAGGGCTGGTTGGTATCCAGGCCTCAGACTGGCACCGTTCATTCACACCACATTCATGCTAAAGGTGCAATCCTGCAAACACTATCTGGGCTAGCGCTTGCTACCAAGACTTCGATGGACATCAATATCAATAGTACACCTAGTATTATTATTACTATTTGTATTCCTTTAGCACCAAGGGTCTCCCATCATGGACCACAACCCCATGGTGCTAGATGCTGTGTAAACAGAACAAAGATATTCAGTCCCTGCCCCAAAGAGCTCACAATCTAAGTATAACATCAGAGACAACAGGGGAATACAGAGACACAGATTGGGGAGCACAAGGAAACCATGTGACAGTAAGTAATAATTAAGGCTGCAAGTCTGTCACGAGGTCACTGATTCCGTGACTTTCCGGGACCTCTGTGACTTCCGCAGCTGCTGGTGTGACTGCCCCTGAGGCCACCTGCTCAGGCAGTTGCTGGGATGGACCCCAGGACCAGCCACTTGGGCAGCTCCTGGGGTGGTCCTGGGGCCAGCCGCACTGGCCACTGCAGGAGCAGCTCCGGCAACTGGCCCTGGGGTCGCTAGAGCAGCAGCAGTCCCAGGGGCCGCCCCGGAGGCCGTCAGAGCAGCTGTCCCCAGGGCCTCAGAGCAGCTGGGGGCAGTCAGCCCCCACTGCCCATGCAGGGACTAGCTGTCAGTGTCCGGGGCATCCCAGAGCGACGGTGTCTCAGAGCCACCCAGGAGCTGCTAAGTTTTAGTCAGGGGTATTTATAGTAAAAGACATGGACAGGTCACAGGCCATGAATTTTTGTTTATTGCCCGTGACCCGTCCATGACTTTTACTAAAAATACCCCTGACTAAAACTTAGCCTTAGTAATAGTAAGTGTTTGCATGGCTGCACCTTTGACAAATAAACAAAGATCAGGAAAAACAGGAAGGAAGAAATTTTACAATGAAGTGATTTTTAAAAGGAAAAGATTTTACAATGATGAAAGCAAATACAGCTGTTTGGCTTAGAAACCTCCCTAATTCAGGATATCAATATTGTTCTAAATATGTTTGTTGTAGTAGAAAATGTTTGTTAGGATTGCCAGCAACTATAGCACAATGGAAACAACCACTGTGGCACTATTAGCATGTGTTTACTTTGTAACACAATTATCATCAGAGACATGCCAATCTAATTAACTAATTTGTTACATATGCCAGCTAGAATATGTCTTTCATCCCAGCCTTAATGCTCTGGGTCATTAATCTCGATCTTGAGAACTAAACCTAAGATAAATGGACAGGTGATAA